GAGCGGGGTGACTCGCCGGGAGACTCCCGAGAGGAGCCTCTCCGCCCCAATCCAGCCGACCAGCTGATGCTACGGACCGGCGCAGAAGCGGAACCACGCATCGCCAAGCTGGGAAAGAAGGTGGAGAGGAGGGGGGAGAGAGAGAGGAGACCCGAGAAGGGCAGAAGCTGCCTGCCTGAAGCCGAGGGGCATGGAGTGACCGCCTGGGGAGGGGTCGGCAGCCGCTTCCCGACCTGCTCCGTTTGGCAGCGAGGAAGGAAGGAAGGAAGGAAGGAGGCAGGGCGCGTTGGAACCGCCCGCGGACGCGCGCGCGAGAGAGGCAGGGCGCGCTGCGCCAGGAGGGAGCCGGAGTTCTCTCGGCTTGGAGAGAGAGCGGGAGACGCCGCTGCTGCTGGGGCTGCGAGGCGGAGCGGGGGCGGACGAGGCAGAAAGGGGGAAGCGATGGCTCACGGCTAACCACATCCGCACCGGCTGGGCTTCGAACTGAGACGCCGCTGCTGCCGGGGCTGCGAGGCGGAGCGGGGGCGGACGAGGCGGAAAGGGGGAAGCGATGGCTCACGGCTAACCACATCCGCGCCGGCTGGTTTTCGAACTCCGAGCGCGCTGCTGCTGCTGCTGCGGCTGCTGCTGGTTTCCTTCCTTCCCCCTCCATTTTGGAGAGGCGCCTCGGCCAGCTGTTTGCCTGGCGGGCATCTCTCTCTCTCTCTCCCGGCCCCCGGCGATGGCCTTCAGCTCGTCCTGGCAGATCTTGTCGCCCGTCCAGTGGGCCAAGTGGACGTGGTCCGCGGTGCGCGGAGGAGGAGGAGGAGGAGGCGGACCGGGCGCCGAGCTCCTGGAGGGCAGCGCGGCCGTCGGCGGAGACGGGGAGGCTCTGGCGGCGCCCGGGCAGCTGGAGGAAGACGAGGAGGACGCCCAAGCGGACACCAAGTCCCTGAGTCTCAGGCAAGCCCGGCAGGTCTTCCCTTACTCCCGTGTCGGCGCGAGGCGGGTTCACACGTTACGCGAGTTTGCAGCCGCGCACGCTGATCCAGCGGGGAGGGGGAGGAGGAGGAGGGTGTGCTGGCGAGGTGGCTGGTTCGCGCTCACACATGGGGGCGGGTGGGACGTGACGTGATGCTTTGGTGCGGGAGGGGGGATCCTTGGTGGCCGTACACGCAAGGCCGGGTTCAGACGCGATGCGCTACCGTTACAGGTCTTAACATCCCATCGAAGGAACTTTCCGTCGCTCTGCGTTTCTTGGCGGAATTGAGCGGTCAATCAAATCTAGGGGGGAGGGTTCCTGTTTGTGTGAATTAGTCCCTTTTTTTGGGGGGGGGAGAGGAAATGGTAGCTGAACACATGCATTGTGTTTGAATGATAATTCTTCTGCCGGGTGTGAGAGCTGTAATGGGTTTTCCACAGGTGCAGGTCACCGTCTCTACCAACTGGGCAAGGTGCACACGCGTGACCTGTTCAGACAGGGCTCCCTAGTAAACAGGCCTGCGTTTCGTATTTGGTCGCCCCACCTGTGCCGCGTATATTTAGGTATACACTCACAACAGTTTGGGTGTATGCATGGCTGAAGAGTAATAACAACACACAGTTGAGTGGTTTTGGTGTGCATGCGCGTTTTGAAGACAAACCAGCTAGGTTATGCTTGAGTAGAAATAATGCCTTGATTGTATTGCTGAGAAATTGGAAGCAAGCTTGGGGGATCAGGCCGAACTCTTCATCAGGTGCAGACGTTACAACGTGTGTAGAAATGGAGAGAGTATCAAGAGACAGGATACTTCTAGAAATCTCTAACCCAACTGGGTGTTTTCCCCCTCCCCATATCATCTATTTTCTGAATTTATTTATACACACACACACCATGAAAACCACAAAAGCAAAAGATATTGAATTAATTAAATACATCAGACAAATAGTTGTAGCTGGAAGAAGGAAAGTGCCTCTGAGGATGTGCAGAATGCATTTCTGTAGTCATTCAGTCGCCGCTTTCTTACTGTTTCTGTAATCCCGCTCTTCAAGGAGCTTAGACCTATGTACTGCCCCCCCTTCCCATTTCTCTTCATGCTTAGTTAGGCACACCCCCACTTTTCTCTGTGGTAAGAGAAACTTACTCTGTCTGTGAAATTAGCTTCCTGGGAAGTTAGAGAGGCCCACGGTTGTACAGATCAAGGCCACGTTGAGCCTGGGTGGAGCGCCAGGTTTTGTATTTTAAGAAATAGCTTCAGGGCCTTAAACCTTCTTGAAATTACTTTCATCTTTTGGTGCAGAAGTTCTTCTGATCATGGAGCATTCTGTACATGCTTTAAAAGCTCTTGGCTCTGTTCAGCTTGTTCCCTAGTAGAAGTTGATTGTGCAAAAGGGTTTAATGGGGGAGGGGGAAGCTTTCCTAAGTACTGTACAGCTCAACTGAACTCCTTCAATTTCAGTGGCTCACAACCTTCGGTAACCCAGGTGTTCTTGAACTACTATTCCCAGAAGCCTTCAGCACTGCCTGTGCTGGCCAGGATTTCTGGGAGTTGTAGTCCAAGAAAATCTGGGGGCCCGAGGTTGAACATCACTGATTTAAGCAGACAAAACAATGCTCTTATATTTGTACAATGAGCTTGTGTGTGTATGTGAAGGGGTTAAGCCTGCCTAGGTGATGCCACATACTTGGACAGTAGAGCGAGGTGTGTTGTCTTCACCGCAGATTTCTCGGAGGGCTCATAGGGCATACTTTGCTGGTGAGAGAAAAATATCCGGTATATATTTCCAAGGCCAGTTTGTTTATTATGGCCATAGGTTTTCCAGGCCTAAGCCCCTGACTCATAAAAATAGCCAAGGTTTTATGCATCAGCAGCTGAGCTGAGGTTTCCATTGCTTAGTCACATATGTCAGATGCTTTCTGGACATGCCCATATTTTTCTGGGTTTACATGTTGTCACATCACCACCTCTCCCCATTTTCTCCTTGTGTTAGGGTTCAGCTACTGGCTGCCCTGCAGTCCTCTCTGCCCTTCTGATAGTGTTTCATTTGCCCTCTGAATGGCCAATTTCGCGATGGAAGTAGCGAAAATACGTCCTAGGGCTCTGATTTGGGGGGGGGGGATGTTTTCTCCCTGCTCTGTCCCTGCTCAAAAAGGCTTTTCAGGGAAGCCAAATGAATGACTCAGGTTCTGTGTTTTCATTGTGGGAAGAACTGGTGTCTATAGGCTGCCACGGATTATGAGTAGCGACTGTAATCTCCCTTTCCCCACAGTTCAGCTAAAAAAATTCTTTATTCTCAGCCATGGCATCACTTCCAGATAGGCCCTTTCTGTTAGCTCACCACCGTGATTTTCTTAGTGGCTTCAGCAGCAGTCTGTTGTTATTGGTCCTTAGATCTTAGAAAGAATCTTAGAACTAATGAACTGGAAAGTACAGTGATGTCTCGCTAGACAGTTACCCCGCATGACCGTTTTTTCGCTAGACATTGGCTTTTTGCAATTGCTATAGCGATTCGCAAAACAGTGATTCCTATGGGGGAATTTCGCTGGACAATGTTTGGTCCCTGCTTCACAAACCGATTTTTGCTAGACGACGATTTTGACAGATCCCTCCGTGCTCACGAAACGGGTGTTTTCGGGACCTAAGCTTCACAAGACAGCTATTTAAACAGCTGATCGGCGGTTCGCAAAGCGGCTTTCCTATGGCTGATCTTCGCTAGACAATGACGATTCTTCCCCATTGGAACGCATTAAACAGGTTTCAATGCATTCCAATGGGGTAATGCTTTTTGCTAGATGATGATTTCGCTAAACAGCGATTTCAGTTATAGCATGATGTCAGGAGCTGCAGTCTTCCAGGCAGTGTTTGACTCTGTTCCCATAATCCATCACCATTGGCCATGTTGGTGAGTGGGAGCTGTAGGCCAGCAACTCCTGGCAGGCGACTGTAGTCTTCCTGAATATACATGGCTAAATAAGCGGCGGGACCAGTTCTGCCCTTAGTTAAAACCAAGCAGCTGCCCTTCGTGGTGGATCCTGGGAAGAGCTGCAATGGGAGCATCTCCATTAGTCGTTCCTGAGCTCCCTGGCCTGTATGTGCTACACAACCTTGCCTTCTGCCATCAGATCCAGTGGGTCTTGTCCCATTCCTTATATTAAAGGAAGGCTCACTTGCAAGACCAGTCAGCATTTGTAACATGGAATGGAGAGACGTGCCATTTTCCCCTATGGCTTAGGCAGGAAAATAAAAATTTAAAAAATGGACGGCACCGACCAGGAGCCAGGATACAGGAGAATTTTTGCTATTTTGTGCGTTGGTTTCCCAAACGTTGGATGGGTGCAGAAATCGTGACTTTTTTCACATTGCTTACTCTCCATCCAAAGCCACGTAAATACAAAGAGCAGGCGCCCAGCAAAGAGCAGAAGGAGTCTGTCCCTCGGTGCATTTTTCCGGTTTCTCATGTTGAGCATAGCAGGAGGTAAGCCGTAATCCTGATGACCGAGGCTTTGCGGCTTTGCCAAAACAGTAATTTAAATCAGGTAGGCCTAAGAGAGATAACACAGAGGGCCCGACAGCAAAATGGAACAGGCCCAAAAGGCACGGATTCAAAAGGCCTACAGGTAAATACTAAATGGGACGGGTCCTCTTTGTGCAGCCAGAGCAATGCTAGGAGGCTGAAATGGAGTTGTCTGGAAAACGGCTTTTTGCGATGTTGGCCAAGGTTAATGCAAAAGCTAGCTCTGATTGTGGTTATTGTCGTGTATTCACCACCCTGGAAGTTTCTCTCTGGCTACAGCTCTTGGCAACTAGTTGCTGCTAAGGAAGGGTGCGTTATACAAAATCAGTATCATACCTGACGTTCCCTATGCTGGATAAGTCATGTTTGGAAGGTCTTTCTTTAGCTTTTGGCTTTCAGATTTTGCCCACGAAGGCTCTGAGGGTCTTTCTTCCTCCCCAAATGGTAAGGTTCTCCCTGTGTAAGCAGGTCGGCCCTGGGAAAAGTGGAGGTGCATCGCTCAGCACCTGCTGCACAGCACAGCTTCTGGTGATGATTAGCTACGTGGCAGGAAGGAGAAAGAGGGGTTCTTGCTTGCTTGTTTGCTTTCTGGCCCACCTTTCTCCCCATAGAGGACTCGACGCAGCTTGCGACAATTAAACCGATGCACTGATTACCATTTTTAAAGTAATAATAATTGTGGGGCATCAAGCCAATCCTGACTTACAGCAACCCTTTTCAGGGTCTTCCAGCTAGAGAATACTCAGAAGTGGTGTACCCTTCCCTTCCTCTAGGGGGAGCCCTGGGGCTGTGCAGCTGGCCCAAGGCCACCCAGGCTGGCTCTTCTCCCAGGAGGCACCGTGGGGGAATCAACCTCTGGCCCCGCAGCCAGAAACCTAAACCACAGAGCAATCAAACCAACCCTATTTAAAATAAGTAAAAGCTATATATTAAAGAAAACCAATTAAACATGTGTTAATGTTCAAACCGAGGTTAAAAACATTACAAGAAGTATGTTTGAACACATTTTTCTATAAAAAAAAATCTAAATTTAGTAAATACTGTGTTCCTGAGACTTCCATTTAGTCCTTAGGAGCTTGCCTGAAAAGGAAGGTGGTGCAAGGACAAGAAGGATGGGGCCAACCTGGGAGGGTGGATCACAGCATGATATGATGCATACACACACAGAGAGAGGGCAGGGGAGAGGGAGAGAGGGAGAAGGAGAAGCCCAGGTTCCATAAGCTGCCAACATGCACCTCCTCATGTGTTGTCAAGAGCTGCATTCAACCCTGTTGGAGCCAAGCGTTCTGTTCCTGGTCTAAGAGGTATAAGAGCACAATAGTGAAAGGCAACAGAAGATGTGGGCTTGCCCAGACCAGGCTTTGGGGGGTGGGTGGCCTGCCCAGTTGTTGACTCGTCCGTCTCTTCCCTCCTTCTTGGCAGTTCGGATTCCGAAGGCAATTTTGAGACTCCTGAAACGGAGACCCCGATCCACGTCCTGGGCAAGGAGCTGGAGAACGCCTTGGCGCCCGAACCCGAGTCCCAAGGTAAAGTGACACCGAGAAGACAATTGCATCCCGTTTCTGTGGATTCAGAAGACTCTTCTTCATGGCTAAGGGTGGAGATGTACAGATTGGTGTATTTGGACTACAACTCCCAGAATTCCCCAGGCAGCACAGCATGGGAGTTTTAAGTCCAAACAAACACAGATCTGCATGGCTCTGGCTGTTGAATGGTAGAGTTTGAGGTTGCAGAATATCTGGTAGGGTTTGAAGTTGCAGAATATCTGGTAGGATTTGAGTTTGCAGAATATCTAGTAGGGTTTGAGGTTGCAGAATATCTAGTAGGGTTTGAGGTTGCAGAATATCTAGTAGGGTTTGAGGTTGCAGAATATCTGGTAGGGTTTGAGGTTGCAGAATATCTAATAGGGTTTGAGGTTGCAGAATATCGAGTAGGGTTTGAGGTTGCAGAACATCGAGTAGGGTCTGAGGTTGCAGAATTCATAGTTGACAACCTGGCTAAAGCCATTGCTTCAGCAAAAGGGATGGAATTACCTTCTACTTATCCTGATAGCTTAGAAAAGTTACTTTTTTGGACTACAGTTTACAAAGTCTCCCAGCCATGATGGCCAGTGGCAATGACGGCTGGGGATTGCTGCAAGTGGAGGTGCCAAAATGTAAAAACCTCAGCTGATGAGCTGATGCTTTTTGAGGACAGGATTGCAACCTCGAGTCTTTTATAGCCTATGTTCAAGATGCTAACTGCTGTGCTGCAGTTTGCCAGATTACTTTTGTAGGAACATGTGTGTGTTGATCCTGATAAGCTGGATATTGTGCTGTGCATTGCTGTTCTTTGTTTGTATGGAAGGGAGGTGGTGGGGAATGTTATGATTGTTCGTTCGTTCGTTCGTTCATTCATTCATTCATTCAAAATATGTTTACCCCTCTTTTCTCCTTAAAAAGGAGCTGTGAGGATGGTGGGATGGAAAGGAAGGCCTGTCCTGATGATCTTAACTCCTGGGCAGACTCATAAAAGGAGATACGGTCTTTTAGATAGCTTGCACCCAAGCTGTTTAGGGTTTTGTAAGTTAGAAACCAGCACTTTGAATTCTGCCTGGAAATGGATCGGCAGTTAGTGGACCTGCTGTGACAGGGGGGGCTTTTGTATTCCCTGTAACCAGCCCCAGTTCACAACCAGGCTGCTGTGTTTTGGACCCGCTGAAGTTTCTAAACACTTTCCAGGGGCAGCCCCATGTAGAGTGTGTTGCAGTAATCCAGCTGAGATATAATTAGGCATGTGTCACCATTTAGAAATGGATTCATTTCCACGGAGCTTGGAAGCATGCTTTTTTTTGGGGGGGGGAACACAACAACTCTCAGCCGCCTTTGCTGCTGGAGGAGATTTGAAGGGGTTGGAGTTTTAAAAGGTAGCTTTTCCAGCCTCTGAGCCTGGAGGGCCGTGAGGTCTGTTGAGACATTATTGACAGAAGCGAACTTTTTAAGGTGTTGGAATTTGCACCTTCTTTGCATAAGCTTTAGAAGGTCTTTCTAGACAACATGTCAGAAGCCGGACTGGGTATTGAGGGGCTGGTCTCTTTGGCGCCAGGAGAGAAGCTGCAAGCACTGATGAGGAGAGACGAGCTATATAAGGCGAAATAAAAGCATGTGCTGTGTGTAAGCCCATACAGGGAAGTGGGAGAAACTTGACTTTTTATTGCTGTTGCAAGATAGGATTTGAAACCGTTAAGTCACGGCTGTTTTGCTTCCACTCTGTGCAGCCCTGCCAGGATCCTGCTGTATTTTTTTAAAACTTGTGTATGTAATGAAAAAAAAAGACAGTATTTAAAAGCTAAAAGCAGTAAGCATACAAATATTTAAAAAGAATGAAACAAGTGTTCTACTAAAGCAGGTACAGAAAATCAATGCTAAAGACACATTTAAAAGCAACAGGGCAGAAAACCACCTCTCAGATAGCCAGTCCCGGAGGGAAAGCTGATCTGAAGAGAAAGGTCTTGTCCTGCTTATGGAAGGAAAGCAAAGATGGGGCCAATCTGGTCTCCAGTGGCAGGGAGTTCCAGGGTCTAGGAGCAGCCACAGAGAAGTCCTTCTCCCATGTCCCAACCAAGCACACCTGTGAGGATGGCAGAATGGAGAGAACAGCCTCTCCCGGTGATCATAACACCCGAGCAGTCTCACAATGGGAGATACAGTCTTTGAGGTAGCTCAGACCCAGGCCATTTAGGGCTTTATAGGTTAAAACCAGCACTTTGAATTGTGCCCAGAATTACATTTTAGCAGATACTGTTACGTTTTGGAGACCAGGAGATGCCAGTGCTCAGAAATTGATTTGCTAACTAAACCAGGAAAACAACTTGGTGCTGGCAAATGGTTTGTTTAGTGATTGGCTAAAGTTTATTTTAAACTCCCCACTTCTGTAGTTTAAATGTAGCAGCGTGCCTGAAATCTGTTAAACATGACATTAAATTCTGTAACAACATGTAACAAGAAGCCAGAAAATCTAAACTAGATGCTGTGGTTATGCCACTCCCCATTATGTGGGGGAAAAGAGTGCTTGAATGGGTTCGGAAGTCTTATATTTGTTAATTTCCCTCGTTAAAGAGATATTTGTACAATGTGTCACAACAGAGATGCAGATGATGGTGCTGCTACCTGTTGAATCCCGTGTGGAACGAGGCAACATTTTTTATCTGGAATTAGTTTTGCAGATTTGTGCTTCTGGACTACAACTCCCAGAATCCCCTAGGTAGCTGTGTTGTAGTCCAGCAATGCAAATCTGCACACTTTGCTGGATCAGTTCATGGTTGCGTTTGCTTTGTCTGATAGTAGAAGCATCAGACAGTTGGGTTATTTTATTTTTTTATAATTTTAGAAGGAAGTAAGGTTGTAGCTGTGTGCCTTAATGCTCTTAGAACATTATAAGGCAAAATCAGTTTCTGGGGGAGTAGATAAAGGACCCAGTCCTTTGGAAGATGGTAATTTATTTGCTGAGAAGTGAAGTGTTGGATTGAAGTAAATGCTCCCTTGATTTGAAGATGGTAATTATAAAATCTACCCAAAAAGGAAGTGGAGGCGTTAAAGCAAATTTTGCAAGAGCAGCTTAAAGTTGTGACAGAGAACATGAGTAGGAGGGTATGGATGAAAAATAAGCTACTTTGGATGTAGACATGCAGACCTTTCATCATGAATTATAGCAACAAAGAGGCTTGTAGAATTTCAAGTGGCCCGAATCCGATAGAAAAATTTGCACCAACAGAAAATCAATCTGTTGGTGCAAATTTCAACAGCAAGTTGTCATAGGCGAAGATGTCAGTGCTGGCATTTGGTGTTGTACACCAAAATACAAAGACCTATGCTGAATTTATAACTTCTGTTCACAGCTGAGACGTATGCTGCTGGAGTTATCCGTGTGAGTCTAATTAATAGGGTTCTAGCTGCTTTCTCTGCCACAGACAAAAATAACCCTTTGAAATTTCTGCACTGGATTTGTCTACTCTTAGATGTACAGTATACAAAAAAAGATCCTTTAAATGAGAGGGTCCTTAATGTAAGAAGTTCTCTTCCTGAGTTTCAGAAAGAAACATGTGAGGCTGTAGGGTCTACCCAAGATCAACAGACATGCCTTGAGATTAATAATAGCTTATCAGTCACTTATCAACCATTTTTTGAAAAGAGAGAGTGAGATGGAATTGAAGCATGAACATAGGAATGAGAGATCACTGGCAAAAGTGCCCATTAGATTATACAAAATGCAGCCAACTGAAATATGAATCAGGATTCCGTCGAATCATAGAAGTATAGAATCATGAAGTTGGAAGGGGCCTCTAAGGCCATCGAGTCCAATCTCCTTGCTCAAGGCAGGAGTACAAATCAAAGGATGTCTGCCAGGTGGTTGTCTCAATTTCTCTTGAAAGCCCCCAGTGTTGGAGCGCTCACCACCTCCTAAAGTCATGGGTTCCACTGTCGTACTGCTCTAACAGTTAGGAAGTTTTTCCTGATATTCAACCAAAATGTGGCTTCCTATAGCTTGAGCCCATGATGACATGTCCTACATTCTGGGATGATCAAGAACAGATCCTGCCCCTCTTTTGTAGGACAGCTTTTCAAGTGTTTGAAATGTGCTATCCTATCTCTCTTCAGTCTTCTTTTCTCAAGGCTAAATGTGCTCAGTTCTTTTACAACTTGGTTTATAGCCCCCTCATAGAGGAGCTTTCTGATAGAAATTGAAGTGGCAGTAAAACAAAACTACTGAATTCCTATGCATTTATTTTGTTAGCTATATGGCTTCTTTGCAACTAATATATCATGTCATTTCGAGGGGTGAAAACACCATGTCAAAATCAGAAAGAAAAATACATCATGCACATCAGATATGGGTAAAATCAAGTTGCCATTCATTAGAGAACTTTTCTCTCTGCTCACGTCAGGATATGACCCCCCGCAGCTGGGAACAATTTTTTCACTTTTTATTAGGACAATGTAGTTGGGATGTTACTTAATGGATAGACAATCAATCGCTTATAATGAGTCTCGTACTTTGTCCTATATCCAGCTTTAATCTGCCACAGTTAATATGCCTCCTGTCTATAAGAATTGGAGAGTCGGATTCTTAAGGAGAAGAAATTCAGAAGAGAAATCCGTTGTACTGCTGTAGTATGAGGAGAACAGAATCTGAGTCATTAAATAAGTTTGCCAAGAACCGAAGGGAAAGATTAAACCTGCAGATAAGGGTGGGGGTGGTCGCCGTTTTTATCAGAGCGGATTAGCAAAATGGGGCATGAAGAAAAAAAAAACTTTTTCTGATCGAATGCCAGCACTGCAGATGCCCAGTGATTGAATCAGAAAGAGATTAAGGTGGTATTGAAAAATGATTGGTCATGGATTAAAGAATCCAGAATACATTGGGTTTTTTGTGCTATAGGGATAATCCACATTTCTGTACAATAATAATGGGGGGACATCAACTCAATTCTGATTTATGGTGACTCTTTCCAGGGTTTTCTAAGTAGAAGGTACTCAGAAGTGGTTGA